CCCCAAAACCCCAAAACCCCAAAACCCCAAAACCCCATAAATATTAATTCTAATTGGATTTTCATCTTGGATGTGCCAAAGTAAATATCGGACCAAAATATTGCTAAACCCTTCTTGACTGAATTGGGTAAACTGAGGTTACTCTTCTTTGAACTGCGCCTCGATGATATCGAGCAGCCCCTCCACATTGTCAAAGAACAAGTGGTGGTTTGAGTCTTCGAGCACATGCACGTTGTGGCCTTCTTCGGCCAAGACTGCACTGACCTTGGGCCCGTTCATGTTCATATCCAGCCAGTCGGAGTCTCCGTAGATGAAACATGTGTCGATGCCTCTGGCTTTGAAGCCATCAGGGGCGTCGATAGCTTCAATGAGAGGGTGTTGGGGAATGAAGTTCCTGGTGAACAACACGTGGATGGCGCTTTCAGCACTGGCAGGCTTTAGAGTCACCTGATAAAGGTGATGATAGATGGCTTCAAATTCTTCCTTCGGCAGTTTCCCCATTCTTTTCTCCATCCCTTTCTTTAAAAATACACCAGAAATTCTTCCAAGAACTCTCAAAGGTGAATACGGAGCAATTGTTTGTAAGAATTTTGGTAAAAATCTTTGCAATCTGAATACTGTTCTTTGCTGGAAACATAGGGTTTTATGGAACTCATCTAAACCTTTATCAATATCTTCAGGCACGTAATCAACTCCTAATGACGATAAGAATATCAGTTTTTTGATATGTTCGCTAAACCTCAGAGCATATCTCCCCATTACGTATCCTCCGAAGCTGTGACAACAAATGCTGAATGAATCAAGCTGCATTTGTTCTCTCCATTTCTCAATGGACAAAACAAAGAAGTCTTCAGCTTCTTCAGAGGTTTTACACGTGAACTTAGGTCTGGAGGACCTTCCTAAACTATAAGTTAACTATTTACCAAATCCTAAAAGATCAATGCACACAACATGGAACTCCTCACTGAGAGCTTTCCACATTTTGAAGTAAAACATCGAGCAAGCTCCGAAGCCATGTACAAGAAGCACTGTTGGTTTCCCTGAAGCTTTGTCTCCAACCTCGTATGTCCATATCACCTAGAATCCCTATTAACCTCCCATCTTTATCCCCCTTCTCAAACATTACAAACCACCTGCTATTTCAGAATTCCAACCCACTAACCCAACCCCCATTCTATTCCTAATTTCCTTCTAATATTTCCTCAACTTCTGGTATAAATTTCTTACATTTTGGTCAGGAATCAGATTTTCATCAGGAATTTCATCGTGCTCCTGGATATAATCTTTCTCACCAAAGTCAATCTCTACTGGGTACTATCGCATCCTCTGTATCTTGAACTCTTCCTGGACTTATCCCTTTCCACCAACTATAGATCACCATTTCCCTTACCTTGTTTCTTCCATTTCAATTATTTCTATAATCCTCGGGGTTTTGGGGTTTTGGGGTTTTGGGGTTTTGGGG